TCCACATAAGTGTCAGAATCGTATGGTACAAGTCCACATAAGTGTCAGCCCATGTAAGGACGCTTCAGGCGCCTATACAAGGCTCACTAAATGAAATTGCCGCTAAAATGTGCATTCATGAGCTCCTGGACTCGGCCCATTTAGCCTTTTCTGATTTTATATGTTTTGTTCTATTCTTTTTTTTAGTTTTTCCATATTGTTTTTCTCTCCGTTTTATTTTTCATTTTTTCTTTCATTTTTTCCTAACCTTTTCCTTAAATATTATTTTGTTTTTATTATTTTCTCTTTTTGGTGGTTGGGGGAAAATATGCTAATTGTTTTATAGAAGTGTATGAACATATATCGGGCATGAACTCTTTTCTAACTCAAGAAGTATTAAAAATACGTAATTTTCTTTAACATTATTTTTTTTACTAAACATGAATATTTTATAGAGGTAGAGGACCTTTTATTTTATTTTATGAATAGTCTTTATTTTACTGCCCTTTTGTTTCTATAAAATCTAAGAAAAAAACAGTTCTCGGAATAAAGAAATAAAAATTCACGAGGCTACTCCTTCCTTAACGGCGATGAATAGGAGCTCCCTAGCGGGCATGTAGGTACTCTCTGTTAACCAAGACCAAATAACTTCATTAATTTGAAAGCCCATTTTTTTTCCTTTGGAAAAATCTGAAAGCCCATTCTTACCCCAATATCTTAATAGGAATTTACCCATCCTGTGCTCTCATGAACTTCTGTCCTTCATATGAAATTGTGTTGATTGGAGCATGTAGAGGCGACGACTGGGTGTGAATCTCTTAATATGGCTTGGATTGGTGGCTGGAAAGATGTGACCCACTCTCTTTGATGAGTTGTAGCACTAGCAGAGCACATGGTCAAGGTAATCCAATCCAATTGAGCATCTGTCCATCTGGGGTAGACATGGGAATGTTCATTGCCATCAATCATCAATTTATTATATGAATGGACAGGCCACAGATGAGTGTGCTCCAGGACCAGGACCTTGAATTTGACCATGTGCTCTGTCCCCTTACACATCATAAGTACTATGCATTATGTGTGCCTTGCTGTTTTATTATAGTACTGATGATGTTTGCGGCGCATTAGCATTTATAATTGTCACTATCAGTAGCAGTGCTCAAGGGGATTGGGTGATCACAAGTTGCATAGAGGCAGTTAGTTCACAGGAGAAACAGGGGGGGAAGAGCTGAAGGATTATAATTCCTCTGCTTGGATGATCACAACTTGCATAGAGGCAACAAGGCACGATGACTAAAAAAAGGAATCTTAATTAATGGCTACTAGTAAAAAGAAAGGTCACTACTAGTATAAAACACAAGAAAGACACCACTTATAAATCCCTAAACATAGATGAACTGCAAAAAGAATATTCAGAGTTGAGTACACCAAGCTCCAATATAAACTGCTGACTATGATTGGTGATCCCCCTACTTCAACCTCCTGATGGCTACTACTTGACACAAAGTTTTCTCTAACTTAGCAAACCAACAAATCTGATCCTTCACTTCAACACTCTTGCTTGAGAGCACACACCAACTTTCCTAATTGACTGCCTAGCTGCCTCTGCCTCTGCTGCTGCTGCTCTGCTGGTTTAGCTCTCCTTCTCACCTAGTACCTCCTAATTTGCAAGCAACTGCAATGCAACAACCACTGACTCTGTGATTGATCCATGGATCTATTTCTCCTGCCCTCCTCACTCACCCTCCTCTATACAAACAAAAAATCTTCTTAGGGGGAACCAATTAAGTAATAGACAAAGAAAAAGAGGTGGAGTAAACCCAAAAGAAAAAGCCCTATTCAACTAACGCCGGCCAGGATGCCCGGCGATTTCATGGATGGATGGATGCTGACTGAAACCGATGCATGGCGATGATGGTGGTGGGTGGATGCATGACGACGGACGACGATGACTGACTGACTAGCTGGAAGCAAGCATGCAATGCATCCATACTAGCATGTATACATATATAATAGCTAAGGGGGACGAGACCGACCGACCGTCCGGCGAGCGATGCCGGCGGCGCGGGAGCAGGCTCAATCCCGGCGGCGGATGAACTGCAGCAGGTCGTCGCCCTTGGGTTCAACCTTCTGGCGCATCTCCACCACCTTCTTGTGGGAGTTGGAATGGATGGCTGGCACGAAGGTGGGGCTGGCCGCCGGGCGGTACTCCGGGAAGAGGCGGCCGGACTTGTAGCGCACGCCGCAGGCGTTGCAGAGCGTCTTGGGCCCCAGCGGCCCCGCGCGCCACTGCGGCGTCTTGTCGATCTGGCAATGCGTGCACCTCCGCACCTCGCCGGGCGCGAGCGCGGCGCCGCCGCTGCCTTCCTCGTAGTCGGCGTCGCCCTCGGCGTCCGAGGTGACCGGAGGGGTCGGCCTCTTGGCCTTCTTCTTCTTCTTGGGCTGCGAGTTGGACTCGGCAATGCACTCGGGCTCCTCTGAGTAGGAGGAGGTGGAGGAGAACATGGGCGTCGGCACCAGGATGGTGGCCTCGGGCGCGGGCACGGCGGCGCGGATGGCAGCGGGGAACGCGGAGGCGCGGGACCGCTTGCTGCGCGCGCGCGCCGGGATGACGAGCACCGGCGGCTCCGGGCGCGGCGACAGCGGCACGGACCACGGGCGGCCGCTCCCGGAGAAGGACTCCGAGGAGGAGGACGCCGATGAGGACGTCGACGACGCCGAGGAGCCCCCGCTGTTGTTGTTCATGTTCATGTTGGCATTGTTGGCGCCGCCGTCCTCGAGGACGGAGGTGGGGCTGGAGCTGCGGAAGAGCGCGTCCTCCATCTTGTCGGGCAGCACGACGCCGGCGTTGGCCGAGAGCGCGGAGGCCCTGATGATGGGCGCGGCGCAGGCGAAGGCCGGCTCGTGCGGGATGGAGGTGTCGTCGAACAGCCCTGACAGCCATTCGAGCTGCGCCATGTCCATGTCAAGCTCGTCGCACTGCAAACAAAAAGCATGTCAGAAACACGCACACTCCCAGGCCACTGCGACGCCATTACTTTTTTTTCTTCCCATTCGAATAGACTACTGTTCAATCAGTAAAGCAAACGTCGACACTGCGGTCCATTCGCGTCGGTACGTCCGGGCCGGGCTGGCCCACGGTGATGGGTTTAATTTGCTGTTGCGTAAAGGGGAGGGGAGAAAAAGGTGGGCTGGCGGGCTACTGGTAGGACTGGACTGGCGGTACTGCTCACTGGATGGAGTAGTTGCTCAGTTGTTGTTGGGCTAGCTAACTACCGAAAGCGATGGGCCCCCGGTACGTAACATGACCGGGCCCCCGCACACCCATCCCCCACCGGTAAAAAGAAAAGAAAATCTATGGAGTATGGAGTAACTTTGGTCACGGCCTCCCCTCATGCCACCGACACCTCCACCTCCACGGCGTGCGCCCGCCCATGACCCAACCACCCCGGCCATTCACGCCGGTGCGGTGCGGTGCGGTGCGCCGGCCGTCGGTTCGCTTGATTGTTCGTTCCCCCCCGCTCCTCGCGCCCGGACAACACGGCAGCCGTGTGGAGTCAGAGTCACCTCCGCCCCCTTCCATGTGACCACTAATGGCGGTGTGCGGTGTGCGCCGTGCGGTGCGTGCTGTTTTTTTTTTTTTTGGCGGTGTGCGCCGCGTGATTGCCGCCCAGCTGATTCGAACTTTTGAATTTCGAACCCTCTGGAGGCAGGCAGGGGTAAGAGAGAAAAAAAATGATGAGATTGATTTTTTCGAAACTGCCGTGCGCGACCGACAGGGGCGGTTCGTCGGCTAGGTCAGGCAGGCAGGCAGGCACGTATCCGCTCCTCCTTAAAATCGGCCGTACGCGGGAGTCGGCAACCACCCAACCAACCGTGCCCGCGCCCGACGAACTGAACAAACGGAACGAGGAAAAAAACAATTACTCACCGTGCCAATGTGGGTGTCTCCGAGGGCGCCGAGGAAGGCCGCGGAGTGGTCCCCGGCGGGCAACGGCGGCGGGGGCACCAAGAGCGACGCCGCCTGCTGCTGCTGCTGCTCCAGCGAGGCCGGCGCCGGCGGGGGCGCGCCGCCGGCGAGGACGCGCGCGGCGAGGGGGCTGTCAGGCACCGGCGCGTCGAGGAGCAGCACGTCCGCCGCCGAGTCCTCCTTGGGGAAGTCGAGCAGGTCCTCGATGTGGTCGAACAGGCCGCCGCACGTCGCCTCCAGCAGGCTCTGCTCGTGCTCCCTCATCATCTCCTCCATGAACCGCCCGCTCGCCATCGCCTCCTCAATCTCAATCCCAATCTCCTCAACCTCTGACTTCCTTCCTGCGTTACTCTGCGACCAAAGCACAATCGGGAGAGGCAAGTATAAATACACGGCCGGGATTAATGCCAGGGGAGGAAGATCGTAAATTTGGATATGCACGCATTAATCGGCATCCAAAGGTAAAGCAGCAGCCGCGGGCAATACAATACATGGCACCAAATTAAGACAAAGGCGGATTACACACCTAATATCACGATATCAATTTTCGTCCCGCAAACGGACGCGACGCTAATCGGGCCTATCTATCTATATCTATCTGTAATACTACCAGAACGCGATCTCCTCCTCTGAGCTGTAAAACAAACAAACATATTTGTAAACAAACGGGTCCGGCCGAAGGATATATATCTTCTGTGAACGGAACGAGGCTCCTTTTTCAAAGTGACGGCAGCGAGCGTGGGGCCCGCGTGTGTATGCGGTGCATGATGGGCCGGGCCCGCCCCGCGCCCCATGTGAGACGCGCATGTGACGCGCGGGTTCTCCATTTTTCTTTTTCTTTATTCCGAAGCAAAGGCGCCCATACAGGTGGCGTACGTACATACAACGAAAAAAAGATGGCGAGAAAAAATCAAGGGGGCGGTTGTTTCATGTTTGGTCCGGGTTGGTAAAAGTCAAACGCGGCCAGCACAAGGAATTTGTCAATTATAGGAGTGACGGGGCCCGCTGACGTGGCGGCAGGCCATTGGGCGGGACGCGTCACTGGCGTGCCATGTGGGAGCAGAGGACGCGTCAATCGGAAGCCGCCCTGGCCCCCTCGGTAAAGCGGCTAATTATAATTAACGCCCCGCCATCCCGGTGGAAACACCGAGGAATTCGCTTCCATTTGCCCGATCCGATCGCGTTCACCGTACGGATCAAACAAAGGGAATCTCGCCGGGCGAAGCGCAAGGAATCTCCCGGCTCTGCGTTTTCACTGCCCCACGCGTTTTTTTTTTACTATTTTCGTTCGTTTTCACATCGAATTTGAATTTGCATATTTTTTTTTACCCTTGGATGCCCTGGGTTTCCTTCCAGAGGGGGAATCCAGGCTGGAGGAGGGGCGAAAGTAGAAAAAAACAAAAAAGGCTGGGCCGGGGCACAATGGAGGGTGAATACCGTGGCAGGGCATCCCATCCGTTCCTTCGCCCATTCAATTTCTATCCATATCAGGGCACAGTAGACCAGCCGCCGTGACGTCGTCGGCCGGAAGGAAATTTCCCCTTCTATCATTGAGACGAACAACTTGACCAAATGGGCTGGGAACTTTCAATTTTTGAAAAAAACAACAAATGAGCCCCAAAAATGGACTGGGGACCTTCTGGCTTGTACAAGGAAGAAGTCCAAACTTGTTGCAATTTTTGAAAAAATCCGGAAGTGGTGCGATTTTTCCGCTTGTCATTCGTCCTTTCTTCTTTCCCGGAAAGAAGATGAATGAGCTGGTGTGTGTCAGAAACTCGGAATGATCGAATATGAATACGGCTGGCTGCGCGGCACATGGCCGCGCGCCAGGCAGGGTGGTGCCACAAATGGCAATTTCAAACGCAAAAACGGTCCCAAGGACGAAAGCATGAAGGCTTCTGAATTTGAATTTGAATTCTTCTGATAGCATCTTCTTCATTTTTTACCCTTTTCCCCATCATTTTGAGTGAGAAGAAACGACTGGTTTGCACACACAAACTGGAACGGGAAGGGGAATATATGCACCGCCGTCGGCGATTGATCGACTCACCTGTAAACTCCTCTGTTTCCTCCAACCGATCGATCTTCCTTCCTCCTTTCCGGTGGGCTTGCTTTGGTATGTGAACTGAAGAAAGAAAGAACTCCTCTCTACCTATCTGCTGCTGGTGCTGATCAAGAAGAAGCTGGCTGCTAGCTATATGTGTAAACAAGGGACTAAGTCTAGCTAGCTATCCTAGTTCTCCTCCTGCATGAGCATGGCTGTGGTAGCTTTGGGTGTAGTCCGAGGGAGAGGTAGGAGAAAGCTGCTGCTGCCTGATTTGCGCCAGCTGAAATTATATGGAGAGGCACCGCACCGCACCGCACTGTACTGCTAAGAGAGAGGAGGGCGGGGTGGAAATACGGGGAGCTATATAGGTGGAGGTAAATGGAAAGGGGGGGAGTGAGGGGGAGGTGCGTGCTCTGCACTGGCCCGGTCGGTGGGATTCAATTCAATTCGAACCCCCCTCCCTCTCTCTCCTTCTCTCTCTCTGTGTGAGTTGAACCGAGGAAGAAGAAGAGGATGAAAGCTAGCACATGAAGAGAGAGAGAGAGAGAGAGCCAGTTTGGGAAGAGGAGGAGGAGTATATTATACTACTCCTAGTAGAGAGCAGGCAGGCTGGAGCGGGGTGCGGAGGGGATTAAGTTGTTGGTGGAGAACGTGACGGGTGGAAGGTAAACTAAACCCAGCAGCAGCTCCTTTGACGCCAGATCGTCTGAGCGGCAGAAAAAGAAGGTGTTTTTGGGTCTCCGTCTGTGGGGGGTTTGCGGTTGCAGTTGTAGGGTTTTGAAACGTTGGAGGGCAGGCAGGAAGAGAGTGGAGATCCACTACGTCGCCCGATTCACTTGCACACGACACGGCTGACTTATCGGCACACCCCACGCGCGCACACACGGCCGGGGATGGAGGAAGACGAAAGGGACGTCGTCGTAGTAGTGCCATGGTGGTAGGGTATATGCGTGCGCCGAGCTGGACGAACACGACGACGGACGGGCCAGGCTCGTGCGAACAGCTAGCCCGGCCCGGCGGAGACCCAGCCTGCAGTGCAGCTGGTGTTTTTACTGCGTGCGGGATACAGGACGACCGGGTAGCCCGTCCGTCCGTTGTAATATTCCGTCGTCCAACGGATTTGTACCGGTACTGCTACTACTAATCGTACGGCTTACGGGTGCGGTTAGGGGAGCGGTAATTAGCAGCGACGACGACGACCGGTAGCAGTAGCAGCGGCAGTAAGTGGTGCAGGGAGATCGGTGCGGTGGAGGGGGTCACACGGTTGGTGAACCCTCTGCCCTCGCTGCTAGCTGTCCTCGCCCTCCCTTTCCTGTCGTGACGTTGAAGTTTCCTCCCCTGCCACTTTCTCTTTTTTTTTTCCTTCGCCACCAACAAAAACAAAAAAACCCGCGGAGAATGCTACCGGTACCGGTGAAACGCCACCTCAGATTTCCTGAGATTTTTCATCCCGTCCATGGACCTACCCTACCTTACCCTGTATGTCCGTGCCTCTGCACTGTGCGTACACATGGCGTTGCACCTCTTGATTGCGTGGCACGAGGCGAGGCCCAGAGGGACGGCCGCAGCACCACCGTGGAACCGGAGGGGTGGACCTCGCTGTCAGTCACGGACGCACGGACTTTTCGCCCTCATGTTCCACGCACGCCGCGGTCTGGCCGACGACGGCCACGGCTTCCTCCCTTGGACTGCGCGCTCGCCGCGGGTAGAAGGAAGGAAGGATCGCCGGCCGCAGGCAGTGGCAGCTAGCATCCAGACGCGTCGCGGTTAGTGGAACCATCGCCTCTGCCTGCCTAAAAATCGGCAGCCGCGCGCTCTCACATTGACCGCGGCAACCGATTGGCACGCGCTCCCGGGCGCCGGTCGCTGACCCGTATCCTGTACGCATCCCGCACGAGCCGGATGCGTGAGAGGGCAGAGGCGGCTACGTGCTCCGCATCCCTTCCTTCCTTGCGTCGGTCTCGGTTCGGTCGCCGCTGGGCCGGCCGTGCAGGCTCGCCTGCGCCTGCGCCTGCGGAATTGGCTCCGGGGATTGGGACGTGAGAGGGACGCGGGCCAGTTTTTCTCGCTGCCCGGACGACGACGCGTTGACCCGCGAACGCCGGCTGGACGGGTGGATTCGAAACTTTCGTCCAATTCGCTTCACGAATTTCCCTGCCTACTTGGCCAAACTCGATCGATCGCATCGCCTGCATGGCGTGTTGCCTAACCCATCCATGGCCACCTGGTTGGTTAGCTGTACGGTTCGTCTCAACTCATCCATCCGTCGATCGAACTTTACCGAACTTGGTTAACTAAGACACCTCCAGTGTTACCACTAGCATGGATTGATAATGGATGAGTAGAAAAATGCTACTACTAGCACGCATGTGGTAACACATAGCACTGGCCAATGGTTGGTTAATGGCCTCCCCTAATCTAATATTATCCTGACAAATCGATCGGATCAAGCGAGTCGCTCGCCGGGTCGATGGACCGTGCTACTACTAGCTGGAGCAGCAGTATTATTCATTCATGCGCGCGGGTGGGCGCTAAACAAAGCCCCGTCCTGCACACGCGATTAAATCGCGTCGCACCAGAGAGAAGGATCAAGCGTGAGATTAATCTCCGGAAAAGGGGAAAGCGGGGCGAGGGAGGAGTAAAGTGACCGCACAACCGATGGTTGTTCGGGCCTCGCTGCACCCGCAAATCATATGACCGGGCCCACGCCGCCAGTCCCACCACCGCTCGTGTGCGCCATGCATGTGTGTAAGAAAAAAAATGGTGCTGGCCACCGACGGCCGGATGGTGTTTGTGCGCAGCGCAGCAAAGCGGGGTGAGGATGTGACGGGTCGATCAGCTGGTTAACATCAGGCGGCGCGCGCGCGCGCACCAACCCGTCGACCCAACCGCCGGTTCCTTCTCGTCCATCATCCTTCCGTCGCCCGTCACTTGGGTCGATCGATCGATAGCAACAGTCCGTCTCTCGTGTCATTTCATGGGTTTCTAGAACGATGGATCTCCTCCATGTCCGTTGCCCTTCTCCCTCCCTCCCTTTGCATACAAACTAGCAGCACGACGTACAAAAGTTGTCGTGGAACGGAGGAGGCTAAAATCGACCGGTGTGGTACAACATGGCTGGCACCGGTACGACGTACGCACTGCACATGTTGTCTAGGTCGCCATGCATCAACAGGGCTGGGCGGACCGACAGGGATTGATTACGTTTGGTTTAGTTGCGCACCGGCTTACAGGACGGGACGGGACC